GGCACCGCCAGCCTCGCGGCGGGACCGGACGGCCAAGAGCTGCCAGGGCCGGGCGCCGGTGAGGGCAGCGGCGTCACCCCTTGGCCAAGGCTGAAATCCCTTCGTTGGGGAGGCAGGGGACACGACCGCCACCGGCAGACACACGCGTTAGTGTTCATGTTAGTCCTTGCTTTCTGCTCGGTTATCGTCACTCTCCTTGGACAGCTGGGCATGAGAAGTCCTGGCGGAATGGCAAATAAAGACATGTGGCTACTGGTGGTGTGGAGAGGCTTGGGGAGCCCCATTTGCGCTCAGGTGTTGGCCCTGGGGCTCCTGCTGGCCTGGTGACTCTCCTGTCACCCAGCCAAGGCTCAAGGGCAGGCCCCAGCGTGCTTGGGGGGTTGCCTTCACTGCCTTTCATTAGTGGTTTTCGCTAATCAGGCTGATTTTGTTGCATATAGGAACACACGTGCAGATGCACACCCACATGAAGGTCTGGGACAATGATCCTATATCCAATATACACACGGATGGGAGTGTAGATCCCTCCTCCTGTGGTCAGTCTGAGGACCTGCTCAGTTCAGCAGTGTCGGCATCACTACAGACATTGCTGGAAGACCTTGGCCTTGCAGTTAAAACTCGCTGGTGTCAGTGAGGCCCGAGTCTTTCAAAGACATCTCACATGGAGCCATTCCTTATTTGCTGGCCTATGCACAACCCTGCTCACAGCCACGATGAGGTTCTCTTTTCATCTCCCAGACCTCTGATCACTTCCACCTTTGTCAACAGCACTTCAATACAGATTTGCAATGTGCTTTTGAATCCATGCGGCCCCAGCTGCCAGGGCCACACGTGCACAGCTGCATCTGGTCTCTGTTCCCAGGGGATCCCTGGAGGCACCGCAGGGCCCTCCCTGCCCTGTGGCCACTGCACGGTGACACACGGGCTCACACAGGGCAGGTGACACCAGAGTGGCACCAGGGTCAGTCTCTTCCATTCTTTGTGCAGTGTCCCGGTCACACAAGTGATCTCAGTGTCCCCCGGTCCATGATCCTGCCACATGTCTCTTCACGGGAACATAATCATTTGCATGACCATGAGACACATTGGATCAGCTAGCTGACCTAAAACTTACACCTACAAAACTATCCTGTTTAATCTTGTCTCCACTTCCTGATACTCAGCCCAAAGAGGAAAGTGAGTGAAATTACAACTTGAAAGAACAGGATAAGAAGGAGGCAGAAGAGAAGTGACAAAGAAAGGCCAGGAGGTACAAAGAGGACCCTGCTACAGGATCCGTGTTGGCAGGCACATGTAAGGAGCACCCAGGGAGCAAAGCAGCAAAAGCCCTTGGAGGAGATGTGTCCAGTTCTGGGCTCTGCAGCACAAGAGAGACCTGGAGCTACATGGAGCAAAGGGCTGTGAAGATGTTCATGGGCCTGGAGGAAAGGCTGAGAGAGCTGGGCCTGGTCAGCCTGCAGAAGACTGAGAGGGGATCTGATCAGTGTGTGCAAATATCTTCAGGGAGGGGGTCAAGAAAATGGGCACAGATTGTTCTCAGTGGTGCCCAGTGACAGGACAAGAGGTAATAGGCACAAACTGAAGCACAGAAAGTTCTCTCTGAATCTAAGGAAAACTTTTTGACTACGGGGGTCACAGAGCACTGGAACCAGGTTGCCCAGATAGGTTGTGGAATCTCCATCCTTGGAGATCTTCAAAACCCACCTGGATATGACCCTGTGCTCTAGGTGTCCCCGCTGGAGCAGGGAGGTTGGACTAGATGATCTCCAAAGGTCCCTTCCCACCTCAGCCACTCTGTGCGTCTGCGATCTCCAAAGTCCGACGCTGCTGCTCTTCATCAGTCATTCACACAGGGCTTGGCGCGAGTCTGCTCAAAGGTGGGGAAACAGAAGAACTGGTTTTGGGTTCCCCCAAAACCAGACCCCATTTTCCTTACAGAAAAATTCACCGACAGGGCCGAGTTGTGGCTTTCCTCCAGCAGATGCAAATAATAAATAAATAAATAAATGGTAACAGCCACGAGGTGGCAGCTCCTGCTCTCTTGCTACTGACTTTCTTCCTCTCTTTGTGAAGCTTGAGGGGGAATCACTATGTGGAGCTCGAGCCTGGCACAGGCCCTACACGGCATGAACACTGGCCCTGGTGCCATGGGTGGTATGTGGCTGCCTCCAAACCAAAGGCAAATCCTCCCTGGGAGGGTCCCATCGCCCTCCTGAAGGGAAGATTGCAGGACTTGGAGCCCCTCTGTGTGCAGGCAGGGGATGGGAAGCAGTCACAGAATGGGTGAACTTGAGTCACCTCTGGGGATCATCTAGTCCAAAGCCCCTGCTCAAACACTCACCTAAAGGGACCCTCTCCAGGTGGCTTTGGACTATCTCCAAGGACAGAGATTCCACAACCTCTCTGGGCAATTTGTTCCAGTTACCCTCACAGTGAAGAGTTTATTCCTCATGTTCAGGCAGAACCTCCTGTTTCATTTTGTGCCCTTGTCCTCCTGCTGGCCACCACTGAAAAAACAAGCCTGGCCCCGTCCACTTTGGGCTCTCCCTTCGGATATTTACACCCATCGATGGGATCCTCCCTCATTCTTCCCCAGGCTAAACAGCTCTCTCCGCCTCTACTTGCAGGAGACATGCTGCAGTCCCTTAATCATCTTTGTAGTCCTACGATGGATGCTCTCCAGTTGATATATGTCTCTCGTACCAGGGAGCCAAAAAGGGAACACAGTGCCCCAGATGTGGCCTCCTCAGGGCTGAATAGAGGGGGAAGATCATGTGCCTCGATCTGCTGGCAACACTTTTTCTAGAGCGCATGTTCTGCCTCATGGTCAACTTGTTGTCCACCAGGACCCCAGCTCCTTCCCTGCAGAGCTGCTCTCCAGCAGGTCAGTCCCCAGCCTGTCCTGGTGCTGGGGGTTCTTCCCCTAAGGGAAGGGCCCTGCACTTCCCTTGTTGAGCTCCATGAGGTTCCTCTCTGCCCAGCCCTCCAGCCTCGCCAGGTCCCTCTGAATGGCAGCGCAGCCCCATGGGGTATCAGCCACTCCTCCAGCTTGGTACCATCAGCAAATGTGCTGAGGGGGCACTCTGTGCCTTCATCCAGGTTGTTGAGGAAGAGTATGAACAGGATTGGAGCCAGTCCTGGCCCCTGGGACACACTGTTAGCTATAGGCCTCCAACTAGACTTTGTACTCTCTGAGCTCTGCCATTCAGCCAGTTCTCAATCCACCCCACTGTCCACTTCCTGAGCTTGCCTAGGAGGATGTTATGGGAGACAGTGTCAATGGCCTTGCAGATGTCAAGGTAGATGACATCCACAGCTCTCCCCTCATGCACCCAGCCAGTCATCCCATTGTAGCAGGCTTTCCAGCTGGCCAAGCATTTCCCATTTGTGAATCCATGCTGACTCCTCCCAATCACCTTCCTGTCCTTCCCATGCCTAGGAATGGCATAGGGAATCAGCTGCTCCATGACCTTCCCGAGGATGGAGGCGAGGACTGCACACAGCTCCCTGCAGCGTGTGCAGGGCCGGCTGCCCCCACAGGGCCCTGCCAGGGCTGCTCCCTCACCTGCTCCCAGCGCCCTCACCCTGGCCTCGAGGCCCCGGCCGCAGGGCAGCTCTGGCACCCCATCCACAACCTCTCCCCACTCCGGGGCCCTTTTGATGCCATCTCCTAGGACAGTTTAACACGGTGTTTTGGCTAACGCGCAGCCAGGAGAGAGCTGAGTCCGGTGCCGAGCAGGAGCTGGGGCCCGCGGCGCCAGTTCTCCCTCGCAGCCCGGGTTCCCCTGGCTGCCCCGTTAACG